TTACTGGTTCAATTGGGATTCATATATACATTATCAATGAAATGAAATCGATACATTACCTTCCTTTATTCGTTAAGAAACTGTTCAACAGGTGAATCTAAACATTTCCCCAAAAATGTATTAGTTAAAAATGACACAAATTGAAATTTTCCTATACTAACCTAATGCTAACCTTTACTTGACAGATGGACGCACATATTATATATTTTATTATTAATTGGATAATTCATGTTCCTTTTGGACAAAAAAATCAGTTTTATTGACAAAATACTCCCTTACAATGATGCCATTGATTTGATGCTATTGAGTTTAGACTGTATGGATAAGGTATTCTTTTCAATTAAAAAAAAAACAGATTGAGTAAGAAATAACTTTTGAATGTTCGGTTCCACTACATCACAAATCTCACCAAAGATGAGTACAATAGTTTTTTTTTTAAAGAAACATCTTACTTAATTAATGGACGTTTTTGAACTAGAAATTCAGTAGTATTCAAAATGTAAATTTTTTTTATGCAACTTAAAATAGCAAACAAGTTGACGACCCACCTGATGGAAAGTGGTAACCGTCGCTTATAGACATGAGCAATACCATGGACATAACAGAGTATACTGTTTCGCCCATGATACCCCCCATGCGTTGCCATTTCTGAGGACTCAGGTGTTATTCCTCTGTACCCAGTAAATTCACGCCATATCTCACCCTTCAAATCGAAACACAGCCATGCAAACACAACTGCTTCACGGTTGAAACACGAATGGAACAGAGGTACCCAAGCAGTCGACTTTTGTACAAAGTCTCCCTCTGGTCACATATGTGCGAACATCTTCTATTATATTTTTTATTTGACACATTTGACAAAAAAAAAATTACGAATCTTATTAAATGGAGGGCAATTACGTTAGTGCAAGATTTATATTACAAGAAAATGAACAGTTTTATTCTTAACCAATTTGAAAAAACGAGAGGTTTTTAATTCGGTTCGACATTACAAGATAAATTTATCAATTATGTTTTAAATTTGTTTATTATTACAATGTGTGATACTGTGTTGATCAAATAATAATTTTGTGCCGTAAATAAAAAAAGATTTTAGCAGAGAAATGGAAAAACTATGAGCAGGAGTTAAATCTCTACCGAGTACTGTAATTCTCAGTCAAGCCCACAAAGAAATTTCTTGGCTTTTCATTACTAACAAAAGAGATTAGACGAGTTATTTATTTTGAATCGATTTTACCAGAAGGAGACTTTTTATAAAATTCGTCTGCATGTGTAATGTACATATACAGACTCCACCCATGCTATAGCTGTGCAGCAGCTACATGCATGGTTGTGTTTCGATCTGAAGAGTGGGATATGGCAACGCAAACAATATTCGGAGGTATAACATTATATATACATAGTACGTAGGAATGTTAACGCTTGAGGAATACCATGACATCTAAATGTATTCCGTGATGTTCATGGTGCTGTTCATGTCTATTTGTGACAATTACCATTTTCCATCAAGTGGGCCGTCAGCTTGCTTTCCACAAAGTTATTAATTCATGAAGTTTGTTCCTGTCCTAGATTCCCTAAGAATGGGAGCGCTTGAGGGATACCATGACATCACAATGTATTCTGCAATATTCATCATGCTGTTCGTGTCTATAAGTGATGGTTACCATGTTTCATCAAGTGGGCCGTCAGGTTTTCTACAAATTTATTAATTTGTGAAGTTTGTTCCTATCCTATGTTGGGTATATATTAATGTTGTCCCGATTGAAGTCGTTTTGTTTCATTAAGCTTTTATTAAGTGTTTCTTCAATTAGGCTTTAATTTACTTATTACTTTATATGGTTTCTATTGTGAAGGAAACTAGGTCATAAATGAACTTTAGAATTTCTAGGTTCGTAGTTTCACCTTGCTCTGTGAATATTGATCGATGGGTTTCATTGTAAACACCGCAATACCTTTAACCTATCAAAAGTAGGTATGAACACTGTATAATATTTTTTCATTCAACTTGATAAAGGAATAAAATCGATTCTGAAATGTTTACTTTTGTTTGTGGCTAGTTGTTTTGTATTTGTAATGAAGTCTTATACGTAAAATCTTACAGCATAGAAAAACGGATCAAAAAACATTCAGACAAAGTATTGGATGACGCATAGTTTTTTATGGACTATGAAAGTCTGATAAAAAAATAAAATGACAGTTTATGTGATAAAAAATATTAATTACAAGATTAGTACAATTTTGTATATTATGAAAAGTGTAACAATAAAAAAAAAAGATTGGACTACTTTCATCAATGTATTTCTATGACATACTTTATCTAGATACTTGTATTTGTTTACCAATGTAAAGTGTTCAGGCGGGATCGGGGTTCAACTTGAGAGGCCTCAACGCTTCTAGTGCGCAAATATTCAGTGGAGTTGAAAGCTAATACCTAGTGATAGGAGATTCACTTCGTACCGGGTTTTCTGCTTTTTGGAATAAAGTTAACACACTTGGGTTACGGTATGTTATAAACATCAAAAAACATTAAAATAGATACATAATTGTTAGGAAGTATTAAAAATTTGTCTCAAGTTAAATAATACTATTTTTTATTGAACATTATTGTAAATTATATAGGATTTTATTCGATAAAGACTTGATGCTTTGAATTTAGTTTGAAGTTAAGTTCGTCTCCACGAGAGCACTAGATTGATCGTTTACAGGAAAATATGTCGAGATATCGTAAGATGGTCATTGTGATTGCGACTGCTCTACCTATTATACATATATCTACGTGGTATCGTAATTAGTTGTTCTTATATTGCTTTTAGATAATATATTTAATATCGATCTAACGGAAAACCTGTAAATCACGTTTAGTATGAGCTCTTCTTAATTAATAAGACACTAATTATTAAAATATAAATTTATAATAGTAAAGATAATACTACCTACTTACACGTAACATAGCGCCACCTTGCAGTAACCTACAAGACTAAATGTTGTAGTGCTCTAAAAATAGTACATGCTTTTTCTATTGCTGGTTTGAATTGAGAGATATGTAGTTCAGACTATTTAATATAGAGTTTGATATTCTTAATTGTGCTTTAACTGCAACGTAAAAAATAATATTATAAAAAGATGTTTTGTTTGCCAATGGTTGCCAGGTATGGATACCTATGTGAATACCGTCTTGTGCCTCCCACTCTGTATAATTGTCTCATTATAACTAAGTGGACATAATTGTATTATATACATATGTAAAATGTTGGAAAATTGCCACTTTCATGGTAAAAATTTTTTTTATACTACAAAGGTGGCAAACAAGCATACAACCTATCTAATGGTAAATGGTTACTGTAGCCTATAGATGCTTGGAACACTAGGCGTGTCACGTGCGCGTTGCTGATACTGAAGAAATCTTAATATACCCTTTTAGAAAAACCCCATATAGGGAAAAATCTTGGCAGGCAGCTCATTCCACAGCCTGAGCGTTCGCACCGCGCAAACTGCACTGTACGTGATCATTTAGGTTCAAGCGTGTGAGGATGTATTCCTTGTCGATAGCGAGCGATGTGACGATAAAGGGTGCCAGTGAGCATTATTTCAAAGAATTCCTTAGAACACAATCCGTTATATAAGCGGTAGAACACTTTTCTACTTTGCCTCCCTATAGAGGAAAAGTTTACTCACCTTAGATCTAAGGTCTTATGAGCTTGGGATCGTCTATCGATCGATTTCAATAAATGTTACTGAAAAATCTGATCTACATGAAGCTAATTGTCGTAGTTTCACGACAGAGACCTTCACCCAGCAGTGGCACGTCGATAGGGTTTGTGATGTTGTTGATGTATAATTAAAATATAATCAGGGACACTTTATTATTTACTTACTTTTATTTTCAGTTAAATCATAAAATAATATTATTGCTAATAACAATCACATTTTACTTTGGCTCAAATCTTAGTTTTATTACTTCCTATGTAACACATGGAAGGTGTTCAAACTTTAGATAATACTTAGATAACAGCGAATTCTTTGGAACTTAAATAATCGTATCCGATGTGACTTATTATCTATTATATTACTACTTTACAATAGTGTCTTTTTTCAATTTTAAAAGATTAATACCTAATGTACCTATATACTTTATGTAAATTTATAAGACTATATTGGTGTTGGCCGAAATTTTCTTCCAAAGATTCTTAGGACCAGCTTAGATCAGTATTATTTACGTTATTAGCTATAGCAGCACAAATTATGAGCATTTTTAAATTGACATCATGATATTATACGATTTTACTGTTACAATAGAGAAAAATATATGCAGTTAGGAAGAAACGCTTTTAAAAATTAGCAAGTATATCGTGGATAAGCACGGTATGAGTTTGAATGTATTTGGAAACTTATGAAGACTAATGAAAATCTTTCCATATAATCGTATTCCCGAAGTCGTATGGATGGATGATGACGATGATGATGAGAAAGAGTAATAACTCTTTCTCGTCTGTTGAGCGGGCTTAAATGAAATTTGGTACACGGATAAGTTATAATCTAACTTAACATATGGTATATGGTACATTATAAACTGATTTACGTGGGGGAAATATTGTATATTATATTTTGCTTTCCTATTGTATCGTAACAGTGAAATCATACAATATCATATCGTGATACGGTAAATTATGTTTTTATTTACAAAAATTATCCAATGTAGGCCTCGACAAGCATTTATTTTATTGAGTAATAAAAAAACAGAATTAAATCAAATCAACATTGTTTTATTTTGGAAAACTACGTCGATTTTAATTTTTTTTTTTTAATAAATACCGAAAAAGTATTAACAACATTATTCTTCCTTTTTGTTAGTACTTTATTTTTCTTTGTGGACGTGTGTGTATTTTGTTAGGAACAAAAATAGATTGGTGTGATTATTTGTTTACTGAATAGAGGAATTAATTAAAATTTATTGCTTTTTAAAATAATTTTGAAATGTTACAATATTATTAGTCTTTTTTTTTATATGCACATTTTTTTCATATTTTTATAATTCTTAATCTTAGGATCTATTGTGTATTATTCTCTATATTTACGAATATTTGTAAATATACATATAATATATTTATATGTAGTATATAACAGCACACATACAATAGGCAAATATCAATAGATACACAAAGTTCATTCTTAAAAAATTATAAATGAAGACTATAGACAAACCAGGAAATACATTACAGTAGTGTTTGAAAGGACGCAAAGAACATTATGGTAATACTCGTAACTACGCTACCATTATGGACGTGAACATTATTTACTTCTAATTAATTAAGATTTTATATAATACTCCAAAAACCGGTACTACCTTACAATTTGGTTTCATATATAATCTATTTACTTCTAAAGAAGTTGCTATCTACTTCGATTTGGCACATTGATTCACAGTTCTCTCTAGACTCATGGTGAGAGAGAGATACTTATATTAACTAGATCATAAGTCAATAATTTACCCCTTAATTAAAGTTTAAACTATTAGTTTTAGATATTTAATCTAAAAAAAGCTTAAGAACAAATAACGATCTACACTCGATTATAATTCATTATATGGAGTTAATAATAATGGGTATACCAAGTGGATATTCAATGAGAATATTTATGAAATCAAACACCTTTTACGAGGAGTACAATTAAAAAAATCTTCATTTTCCAACTGTCACATTAATTTAGGATACAACTTTAAAAAATATTTTGATATTTTGTGTAAACTATTTGGTGCCGTTAGTCAGTTTCATAGATTTCTATTACTGAGTGTGGGTATCAACTCGGTATACTCATTATGACTAATTCAGTCTAACTTATTTTGCTGAGATTCAGTTTGATGTTATAGTAATTTAATATTTCTTACTGATTAAAACAATGTTTTTGTTTAATTTGTGGATATAAAACAATTTGATACTTATACTCGAATAAAGACCGTATTTGTTATTTACTTTTCCAGACTTATTTTAAAGATAAATTATAGTATATATATTGTAATAGGTACGTTTATTAAAATTATTTTTACATCTGTTACATCTACACAAACTACACACCTATGACCAGAATACAATATTTTCATTTAAACGCCGCTTGCTATGAATTGCATCAATCACACTTCATTATTGAAATATGATTTCGAAATTTTAATCACATTCTCATAATAGTTTGTATTTAGCAACGACCAAGTGTTCAATCATAATTAAATTATTTCGAATATTTTTAAGCTTTATTAGAAAATAAACCAGACATTAGGAAAAAATATTTTAATTTTTAAAATTATAAATACTTACTAAGTACCTTCACTATAAATTATATTAATTTATACTGAATATAAATGACTTATTTTCAATCACAATTTATATATATATAAACTATAAACATAAAATTGAGCCATTGTTGTTTAAATATCATTTACTTTACTATAAGTATATTTATATTTAATATAATTGCACGCATACCTAGTTTAAACAATATTACATAGTTTTAATTATTCTTATATTGAATTTAGATAGATTTAATAATAGAAACCTAAATAATTAAATCAAAATTAGACTATTACTTGTATTTGGTATAGAATTAGTTTCTCTAGTCATAGAAACTGTTTCAATTCTAATTAACGTACAGTGTATGGAGAATTAGAAAAAAAAAAACCATCGATAATTAACTTCATAATAAATATCTAAACAAGTTTATTGTACAGTTATAAATTGGAACTAATAGTGACCGTTTTTTGCATAACAATATTCCATTTAATATTGTTGCATTATAAAACTTTCTTTAAACATCACTGCGGTAAAATCGATAGCTAATTGTTATAACAAATTTTAAGTATAAATCTACCTTAGCAGATACAACTGTCTGCAGACTGTTAACTTTAAGGTTCCAATTTGATGTGCATGTCTCAAGATGGTGGTTCTGGGGGTGCCGGTGGGCCCGGTGGGGGCCCTTGCAATAACTTGGCAGCCGCTGGGAAGCCTGCTAAGTCGAACCCGGTGGGCGGGACGATGCCTGCTGCTGTTGCTGTACCTTGGAGATACGCTACTAATCTGAAAGAATAAAATAATATATAATATGTTAATTAACGTAACATTCCTTAAGATTGGTGTTAGTATTCATTAATAGTGGCTAATCATTTCTTTTTTTAATTTTTTATTATCTAAAAGTGAATAAAGAATCGAAAAAAAGAAGAACCTGTATATGTACCAATGTTACTACACAGTGCAGTAACATTTTGGACATATGATTTCATTCTGATGTTAACGACAAACACAGCAAGTTCGTAAAATTTTAGTTTTTAAGTTATGCGTGTATCATAGACAACTTTATGATAAATATGGAAACATAAATATATTTAAATTTTAATACCTGTTGTAACTAATATAATTAGAATGTTAGACTCTTTCAGACATTATATTAAACTTATAAGTCTTTATAATAATTCACCCTATATTTTATTTGAGATTCTCTACCCATTTAGGTAGATAATCTCAAATAAAAAAATACAACCCATGTCTTTCATTGATAATGTAGTTTTCTATAGGTGAAAGAATATGAGATCAGTTTTTTTTGAGATTATTCAAAAATCTTTCCTTAATTATAATATAATTTCAGCCATTAACTGTCTACTGCTGAACATTAGCCTTCCCCATAAAGGGAAATTTGCTAGTAGTTGCTACGTATGGCAGGCGGGTTGACAACCGCAGCCAGGCTTGTTTTAAAAGGGACGCTACCATTAGTTGCTTCTCACGACACCCACAGAAAAGGAAGGGGTGACTCATTCTATGCCAGGGCTTACATGGTTATCTACTTATATATTTACGTATGTAATATCAATATCTATCATACATATCAATTATATATTACTTTAGAATTGTTATGTATTGTAAAGTCTTTATTGTACATAATTACAATTAAAGTCTATGCAAACATTTTATTTTTATAGACAACAGTAATAATATATATTTAGCAATATCGGTTTTGAGTATTGAATTCACAGGATACTGTCGAGATACGAATTTTAGATATTAACTTATACCTAGATAAGATGAGAGACAAAAGCTTTACCCAGAGATTTATATTCATACCCATTTGAAACATCCATAAATCTTTTATTAAAGCTTTTGCAAAAGTATAGTTTCTAGAAATACTTAGTACTCATTCAACATTATTTTTCTAGGAATGATTGAAACTGTAATAGTTGGGGGTACTTTAAAGACGCAAAAATTCGTAAGCGTCTATATATCTATCCATATAGTTAATTATGCGTATAATTGGATTATCAATTGGTGTATTTAAGATCAAGAGTGATAGGGGCGCTGACCCATTAAAAAGGTTATGAACCTTTTTTAATGTGAGACAAGTCTTTGTACATAGTCGAAAGCTTCGCTTCTGATCGTGTGGTGGCCACCATGCAATTTTGGGATGGGCATGCTCACCTTGTTAAATACGTCTATGGGTTTATTAACTTTATAATAACCCCATTTTCAATCGATTTTTGTAACTAGAACTTCTTAATTGAATTGTTTTATGTATATGTTATTCGACTGAATTGTAAAAAGTTTTTTTTTTCAGTGTTAGCGATGATTACAAGGTGATGTATTTTTATCAAAATTTAAAGGAAAGTTTCGAAGTAACTAGCTTCAAAGATTCTGTATATTTGAAAATATTGAATTTTTATATAATAATGCCTGAGTTGTACTTGTATGTAATTTTTTGTTCAATTATAATTAAGTGATTAATACCTTACCTCCTCAGTTCCTCTAGGGCACTGGCCTGCATCAGGATGTAGTTCTTAGCGAGTAACAATGTTGCTATTTTGGAGAGTTTCCTCACGGACGGAGAGTGTGCATAAGGGATTACACTGCGTAATTCGTCGAGTGCATCATTCTGTAAATATAAAAAGAAATTTGTGGTAATTTTTACCATAACTATACTTATAACTACTGAGTGCTTTTATATTTTTCATAGTACGTCACGAAATTCGATATAATTTTACGTGACAGTATAATTGAGGAGCAAAATGTATACAGTTTTTCAAATTATAGGCTTATTGCCGTCGCTTTGCTTCTACCCAGTGATGGGGCGTGTAATCAATACGTAGCTCCTTGAGTACCTAGAGGATTGCGATTTGTTGAGCGATCACTGATACCTTTATCACAATAGGTTTTCGCCACAACCGTTCAACTGCTAATCTTCTGGTGTGCCCTACAAACTGTTAACTTCTTGCCGTTGAGAGTAAGGATGAGGCGTAGGCTGTTGGTCTAAATATAGCTAAGCTCTGGTCGGGTTGAGCATAATAGTTTTCTATCAAAATTACCCTCATAAGAACTTCCTGAGGCATTGTGTAAATGGATCGTCAGCTTTCTGTTTAGCAGATGTATTAAAATCATGATTAACTGTAGCCGTCGTCCTGCAAGGCTCTGTATTGTTTCCAACGCTATTTTTGCTGTATATTGGTTTACTGTGTATAAATCCCCCAATAGGGGAAAGCCTATATTCGGTAGAGGTCAGTTAATAGCTGATATGATAACGATGATGATTGTTTTGCTAGCTACGATCGACATTCATTCTTATGAGGATGATAGTTCTGGGAGTGTATACTACACGAGCGGTGTGAATATCCCTCGATCCGCAGACTAACCGCGAAATAGCTTGTGTCTGTAATCGAGAGTAGTCTCGTTAAAATATCTGATTGGGTACAACTAAACTTAGTCAAATTTAACATCTGAGACACAAGCCTACGTGTTCATCGCAATTCCAGAACATATTCGTTACCATCTCCAAAAGTATGGAATCCTCGATGTCGACATTTCTAGCGCTGTTAAGTTTCGGGGTTATCTTGAAGACAGAGCCAAGCTGGCGTCCAAAAAGGTCGGGGTGTTCAATAGACCGAAATGGTATACACAAAGATTACTATTGTACAAGTCGTAAGTCCGGCTTCTCATGAATACTGCCCTCATTTGTAAGCTAGAGTATCTGGATACTAGCTTCGTCCTCTTGAATCAGTACAACGACGGGCTATGAGAATTGCCGACGTCCTCAAGTTTGCCTCTCTTCGTGTGTACTACCGTTTCTATAACGAATTGTGTTCTGAGGAATTATTTGAAATGATGTCTTTAGCTACCTTTTATTATCGCACCGTTCACCATCGACAGGGAATTCATCCTTATACACTAGAACGTGAATAGTTGCGTACAGTGTGGTTTAATGTTCAGGCTGTGGAATAAGTTTTCTGCTGAGGTTTTCTCTAGAGACTACGGTTCGGACTGGAGACGAAGGTTTTTAAAAAGTATGTATTAGGGTTTCTTTAGGGTCGGCAACATGCATGAGACAACCCTAGTGTTGCAGGTGTCCATAGGTTAAGGTGATCGTTTACCATTAGACGAATTGTATGTTTATTTGCTACTTTTGTGGTTTAAAAAAAAATATTTTGATCTATACTTATAATTACAAAATTTTGCTCCCCTTAATGCCATATAATGGCAAATTATAAAAACCCCTGTAAAATATAATTATTTTCTATTTACCAAGTCATGCATTCTTCTTCGTTCTCTAGCGTTTATATTCAGTCGAACACTTTTACCCTGACGCATTTTCTGTTTCGATTTGCCTTCGCCGATTGGTCTGTGGACATTAGGAAATAGTTTTCATAAATATTATTTATTGCATTCAATGTTTCTTTTTGCATTAATGCAGCGTTTACTGAAATGTCGTTTAAGTATCTCGTGATACTGTGTAAAGATATGGCATTATGAGCAGAGTAATATAATTACATATAAATTAATATAATATTCAAATTATTACGCAGTATTATATGTGTAATATGTAAAATATTTTTATAATAAATAAAAATATATAATTTATTTTAAACATCGGCATATTTAAGATTATTTTGCAGGGGGAGCCTGGTCGAGGAGCCAAAAAATGCGTATATGTACTCTCATACGTTTTTGACTTACAGAAAAAGCTTGGCTCGGATCTTAGCTTGAGCATCAAACAATTCTGGGGTGAGCACGGCTTATTCAGCCCCTCCCCTCTCTTAAATATGTCTATTGTTTTAAGATGACATCAAAGTAAAAAAAATTCGTTCGTGAGTTACGACTTCAAATGCATTAGAAGTTAGGGGATGCAGGTGTTTCAGGGCTATATTTCATTTTTGGGGTAGTCTATAGGGGAAGCCTATGTTCAGCAATGAGCAGATAATCACTGAGATGATGATGACGCCATTACAACGCCAACTTTGAACAGACTTTGATAATCCTTTTCGAAATAAGTAAGATATATTCCTACATTGGTACTGTACTTATTTGAGATGATAGATGTTGCTGCTCGTTGCGAAGCAATATAATCAACTTAAGGATACAATTTCGTATACTAAATTTATATATTTTAAATATAATTAGTCTATTAAACAACTTATTGTTTATCATTATATTAACTTGTTTAGTTACTGTAAAAAAAAAAAAAACTTTTTTTGGAAAGATTGGGATATATTTGTAATTGATGTAAATGTGTAATTTTACGTACGAGATAAAGTGAACTATGAGACATAAAATACAAAAATTAGTTTTGTCCATTATATGATATAGTAAATAGCCAGGAGGTGAGGTCGTTAATCATATAAGAAGGGGTTGTGGCATCATAGAGCGGAACAAGTGGCAAATAACTCTTGGTGAACAATGGATGAGATTGTGTGACAATGGGGGACGTAGGGGTGTAAGTTGACGGTAAACCTTTAACTTTACTAGACAGGACACGACTCATGATTTATTCTATTGTTGTATTCTAATGTTTTAATTAGATATTGGACGGATACTAGTACCGAGTTAATTCTGTATTGTATTTATACAAGGTCATCGTGATTGTTATAAATCGTATTTTTTAATATTTCTGTTTTTTTTTTTTTAAACTTCGGTAATGATTGGTTAATTCGGTTAGGATAAAATAGGTACGTTTGTCGAAAAAAGGGCAAGGCATCAAATATTCAGCCTTAAGACTATATGGCAATTTTTAAGTTTGATTTGCTTTTGACGTGTACGCAAACGAGCCTTTTGACATAAAATATTGTTATATGTAAGCAATTAACATTGTAATCTTAAAACGTGTATGCACGTGAGCATATTTTTACCCCTTTATTCATAAAAACTAATAGTAGGTATTAGTTTTTATGAATAAGGGGTACCCTACAAAACTATTTTATCTATTGAATTGTTTTATCACTTTATTTCAAATCGAGACTGTAGCAGAAAATAAAGGGACAAAACAGTTCAATAACTAAAATAGGTTTATGAGACGTCTGACGTTTCTATTAAAAAAAAACAATATTCTTTAATACAATTATAATATAAAATATCCTTACATTTTTCCGATTACATTACCATAATATCGTTAAGTAAAATTAAAAATTACCATTTCTATTTTAACAAAATAATTTAATGTTTTGGAATGTCATTTCTGTACAGTTTATAGATCTGTGTTCGTAATACTAATGAAAATCATGGTCAATGCGTATCGCGAACTTGTACAAGGGGCGGGCAGGGGAGCCGGTCTTTTTACTATTGTGCGCAGATGGTGCATCGTGGATTGAGTATTTATATATACCTAGTTTATTATTCCTAACATGTGTGCATATGGTAAATTTACTATAGGTACGACTAATGTTGATTTCAAAATTTTACGTAATAATGAGTTATAAGATTTTGTTTAAATTACCGCGTAGATAACAAAAAAAACGCTTTGATCGTGCAGATACAACATTTCCCGAAATTGTTAATATATTATTTGTTATTTATAATAATTGTTATTAATTATATGTTATTTATAATATATTGGTAATATTATTAATGTATGAGTAAAATATATTAGTTTGCTAAGAAGTAATATAATACCATTTTATAACTTTCTTCATAAATTGAATGTATACGAGTATACAATGATGAAACGATTTAAAATTGAATACTCAAATATTTACACACAGTTTTTAAGTTTGTTAAAGTATCACTGAAGGGTTAAGTTAGTGTTGTCGTTAATATTTATACTGCGCATGATCAAATTATGAAGAACATACAAATAGGTTATATGAATATACATAAATATTTATGTAAGTATAATCGGATTATGGTAATATTTATGACATTAGGTAACTATATTCTTTTAGCACGTACTTATACGTCAATTGGCAATTATACTGTATACACATGAACTTTTATTTCTATATAAACAATACTTAGATATAGTAGTAACCTTTGAGCATAGCTGGTTCCGGGTTCTGGTTGATTTTCATCAGTCGGATAACAGTGTTGTGGAGGGGGCGGAGGTGCTCCACCTTGCATGTAGAACCCACCAAGACCGACAGCCCCCAAAGGAGTTCTTCGGCCCGGCACCGACTGTGGTGGTGAATGTGATTCTCCCAGCGGCACGCCATCCCAAGTCCTTCGCCCCTCCATATTTTAAAAAAGTTAACACATCACACTGGCAATTACGAGACCACTACTTTTTATTAATTGAAATTTTTCGAAATTTTGAACGGCACGTTTGAATTTGGAACCGCGTTGACAGACAGTGCAGAGCGTAGTGGATGTTGACGCGGTCCACAGATCGATCGGGGCACGCAGCTGGGGCGCGCACCCTTCTCTCATCTCGCCACAGAGCATTGTTCCGAAATGTGATTGTGATTTACTTCTATACGCGTGCAACATCTATTAGCGAATATCATGTTTTATTATTTTAACGTTTACTAATAATTAAAAACTAAATACTGATAAATTAAAAGTATTTACTTATTTTCTTCACCTTAACTTCAGATTGTTAGGCACAGGTGTCAAAGAACACCTATTTCATTATTTTAATGTAATTGTAATAAAATTTTAACAAGAACAATTATATAATTACGCAAAAAAGCGACTTAAATTAAAAACGCATCGATAAACGACGAGATATCATAGATGATATAAAGGCTTGTTTCGAAGAATATTTACATTTTTCTTAAGCATTTTTAAAATGGCAAACAAGCTTTACGACCCACCTGATGGAAAATGGTAACCGTCACGTATAGACTTAAATGGACATAACAGAGTATTTTGTGTCGTCTATGATACTCTTCATACGTTGCCATTCCTATAGATGACATGCTATATCTATAGGATATATCAAGATGTAAAAACATTTCAACATTTGACTTCAAAAACGGTAACTTCAATCGTCACAAAATTATTAATTAATCTCAAAAACAATTATAAAACTTTGTTTAGGACAGGCCACTAAGTCGCGTGACATAATCGAAAAATATTCTAATAAATTGAGAAATTTCTTTTGGGAATGATCAACTTACTTTGTTTAATGTCCAAAATAAAAAATATCAATAATTAATAAAAAAATTAGCAAAAGCTGTTCAATTTTATTCATATTTACACAAAAAAAATACATTCATACAATTTAATTTATTTAAAATAAAGATTTACAATAGGCGAGCTCAAGTCTTTAAGCTTAAGCTTAAGTAAGAGTTCTCTTCCAGCAAACCCGGATAGAAAGGAGCATTAATTACCAGCGCGCAGTGTGCGTGCAATAAGAAGACCAAACAATAAATATGCTTACCTAAATACAAAGTATATACTTGCATTCAAAATACATAACCTATATATGTATGTGTATATAATATTATCTTTTACTTCTGCCAATATACAGTGGAAGAGTTCCATAGTCTAGCCGCATGAATCGTAAATGATCCACTATAGCATGAGGTGGTATGAGGAAAGGTTTTGAGAATAAGGAACTTGCTCGACCTACTGGACGTGGCAGTGGAAACAAGGAAATCTAATATTATTAATTTTTATAAATATTATCGTGAATTTTAGTTTGTTATAAGTACGTTTTACATTTCAACGTTCATACGAGTATATTATATCCTCATAAAATAACATTCCAGAGATGATTTATAAGATTCAAAATAATTTATTCTAGGATGATGAGACAGCGATAAAAACTTCACTAACCTATTAAATTGTTTGGCACTGGGTAGCCGTAAATGGAGCGGGGGCAATGACTCCTTAGGTGATCCGGTGTCCGATAGTATACGAGTAATCCTCGACTGCAGATGTGGAATTAGGTTTGTGATGATTACATTTTAGAAGTAGGTAAAGGTAGTAAATACCACGTATAAAGTATAGTAATATATAAATATGGAAATTTAGTAGCATTTACGTTAGTGCATATTTTTATCTATCTTTACTCGTATTTTCTTTTTGATCTAAAAATGAAACTTTTGAACTGATCCTTTCATTCTATATTCTTTCGGATAAAAAAAAATCCAAATGGGTTTAGAACTGATGGAGCTATAAAGTAATAATCATAAAAACAATAGAATCAAATTAAGAACCTTTTCTTTTTTAAGTCGGTTGAAAATAAAATATTTTTCATTTTGGTTTTAAATTAGAATTATTTTTTCTTACATTATATAGATAGAGCATTGAATATAAAAATGAGTCAAAATTTTGTTAGAAAATTTTATGATCGGATGACAAAATCTTGAGATATACTTATTTTAAATCAAAACAAAACGCGCATACACATATGTTCATATTGCTTACAAAATAATATACACGTAGGTAATAATTATAAAAAAAATAGTGGTTATTTTCAATTATTTAAATATGAATACATATTTTATGTTTATACTTAGACATAAAGTAATGACTAACAATTAGCTTTATTACCAAACATTATGCACTGCCTATTTTTTTGTTTTAAATATATTCGTAACAATTTTACTGAGTAATAAATGTACATTATGCTATCTCTATTCCCGCACATAGAGATAAAAAAGTTTACCTGTTTTTGGAAAAGCATATGTATGGATACATAATATAACTATAATCTAAGTCTCTTTCATATGAACCACAAAATAGAATCATGAGAACTTAAATATGCACGTAATTGTCCATTCAATAATTATTGAGTAGTAAAAATATAGATGAGACGTGAAAATATTTTTGTTTTTTATTTAAATGTTCGATAAATAAAAATAATATATATTACTTCAACAATTATAGTATGAAATAAATAAATACTCGATGATGTATTATGTTACAAATTCTGTGTGGTATGAAACCCTAAAAGATGTTTTCCAATATCTGTTATGTAGAAGCTTTCAGACGAAGTTGTATTTGTACTTGACAAGCCTCCGCATTTAGTCCGCGATCAAATGATACACTAGTTGGTAATCGATATTTTGTTCAATAATGTACTATTCTTTATAGTGAAAAAATAAATACATAAAATAGTTGTTATAGGAGGGAGATTAGAGAAACTTCTTTCGTTTGTATGGTTGAATTTCTTCATAAGAAAAATATACAGATAGAATCGCCAACTCATCTATATATACTTGTAGTTGTTGACAGTTGTTGTTGGTTGTTGTAGTATATTAATTTTGTCATGATTGAAGTTCCTCTTTCCGAAGCAAAATATAAAATTTGTAGAGGTTGTTATCAGAAGGTTGCGTATTCAAATCACGTCGGGGTCACCAGTGTAGAGGTGTAGATGTGGGCTTGATGATATTTATATATATAGATTCAGAAGGAGTGAGAGAAAGAAAAATTTAGTACGAGATTGTATAATGAATTATATTTACAGTAAATAAATCCAGATATAATAAGTCGCGATACAAATTATAGTTACATAAAATTGCTAAGACAAGAAGATTGTCAAGAACGTCACTATTTACTTTTCTACAACTATGTAGGGTTGAAAGAGGTTGGTAGTCTACAAATTCATATATTAAACAGGTAATAAACTCGATTCATATTTTGGTAATAAAGAAACACGAGTAGATAATAAATTTATGAATGAATGAAAACTTTATTGTTTGTGGGGTAAACAAAGATACATTCGTAAATCAGTGTCCGTGACTACTCGTTTATAAATAATAATAATAAAATGTATAGGTAGGACGATTCAACGAGTGGGTTACTGAATTGGAAGTATAAACATCTCCATTTATCATTTTGTAGTGGTTTTAGAAGCTCACGTTTAGATTGATGATAATTTATAAAGAGAAGTAATGGAATTTCTTATGTTTATTGTTACTCGAATAACTCGAGGAAAACGCAAATATTAGTACGAGAGTAGGCAATTTGTTTACCAAACAAGGAAATATGTTTTGAAATATGTATTTGAAGCAATTGGGATGTATTGTTATTATCCGGCACGCGCACGGTAGTATTGTTTATGTAAGTATAAAAAAATTAAATAAATATATTAACGTGTTAATGTATACTTACATGCAAAAATGTTTATCCAAATTTGGAGTAATTCTCTGAAAAGAGTATTGTGAGAAAATGAGTTGTATGGTAAGTATCACTGTTTCCTCGTTATTTTTTTAATCGTGGCACGTTGTTTTTATAAAATTTAATATCTGGAATGTGTTCACGCTTAAATACTTCAAGTGAATACTTTATAAATTCAATATTATGATATTCTTTTTGAATCATAAAAAAATACCATTCACCCGTCCTTATCTTTAAATTTATTGGGCAGTTAGCTAACAAACTATAAAATCATAGGTTCTTAATTCGCCTAAATTTTTTATTATGAACGTGAACATTTTTATGAATGGAAATGTTATTCAAATAATTTTATTGAAATGAAATTTATACGTAGATATTTATATGAATATGAATGACCCATAATTTCTGTTCGTTGTTATAATCAGATTATATTTTAGCGCGTGCTTTTGCAGTTAGCAATAACCAAAACACAAAAGGCATGCGTCTATTTTTACATTTCCCGGTAGTCCGGCCTATTCGAGAAATACAAGTAACTACTGATAGTTATGTTTGTGGGTGTAGTTTTATTACTTTTCTAGGGGTTTTTTTTATGCAACTAAAAGGTCAAATGATCCATCACGTATGATCATAGGTCACTTATAAGGTAAATACTTTTTAAAGTACTATGGTGGCAAACAAGCTTACGGCCTGTCTTAAATGGTAACCGTAGTTTATGGATGCCTGTAACAACAGGATATCCCATGCGCGTGAATTATGTGTACCTACCCTTTTTGAAGGGGGAAAGGGATTGTTAGTAATGGGGGTTTAATTGTCCCAATATAAAATATACCCATATTCAGGTCGAACTCCCCGTTCGACCTGAAAACCATCATAATTGATGTATGATATATTGAGTTCGTCATGATGTGCCAGGTGACCTGCTTCAACCTTATCTATCAACCTCATAAAAAAAAGATTGAAAAATTTGTCATATTGGCTGACGTAAACTTTTTATTTATCTCTAAAAGAGATTTCTTCCAGTCAACCTAACTCAGTGGCTTAGGAAGTAGCATTTTTTTAAAAGAATCTAGGAAAATTTCGGCAGGAAGTTCATTCTACGTTTTGAATGTTCGCGAATATATGTCACATTATTGTGTAGTTACTTAATATAATTACTATTTTTTATAAATTCTATTGATCATTGACATTAAATTTATAAATATTTTGTAATGCCTGTACTAATTTTATTTATTAGAAAATAATATAGTTTGCCATTTGGTTGCACTCGTTTCTGCTAGCTGAGAGTTGTGGATTCGAATCTCGTCAGATCTGTCTAAAGTTGTATTTCATTAATTTACTAGATTTTTAGTTTCACAACATTAATTTTATCAACACTTCCGTGTGTTGTAAATGTGTAATTTCCTAATATGCACAATATGTTTCACGAAACCAAAATATTTTATCTATCATACAACTAGAGGTTATTTCATAGTGGTAAATCTGACATGAAATTAATGCCATTAAAGCCTAGGTACCTGATATAAATGCATTTTTATTCACAACAAATTATTTTAGATTGGTATGAACAAATTCTGTTGTAAAAATATATAAGCCAACTGGAAAAAGAGATACCTATGAGTATGAAAATATTGTAAGAGGGCCTAGCAAAGAAATATGTCTGATTAGAAGTACAGGTTCATAGTATAGAATAACGAATACGTAAGGTAATGTAATGTTAGGTGTAATAAAAAAAAATGCCATTTTATTATATTATGAAACGTTTAATAATATTAAAGCTAGTCAATTCAAAATTATTTACAACTTATTCCAATCAGTTCCGACTTCATTTTAGTCTTCTTAACAACTATCTATCGACATATACAACGTACCTTACCACCGATTCATAAATGCTCAGCACTATAACCGGAGTATAAAGGCTTGCGCAGACGACGGACAGTAATTTAGCGCAATTTAATTTTTTATAATAGAACACATTGAATTGTATGCACACGTATCTGTCCAAGTTACACGTAAGATTTTTTTCTACACATACTAAATGCCCGTAGTCTGCGCATGTCTTAAGAATATTTTCATGTACCCTATATAAAATTAAAAAGAGTAGCGTAGACTGCACAGACGATAAACAGTCCCCTGCTTAATGTTTTGTCTATCAAAATATAACGGTATTAACGAATAGGTGTCTATTCGAGGAAATTTGACTAAAATACAGAAGTTCGTAGCAGGTTCTCAATAAGCACAGTGGGAAATACTACTTTCTTTATCCGTGGAAATAACTTAGTCTGTGCAGTTTGTAAAAACGTAAACCGTCCGTGTGATAATTCAATGTACTTAATAGTTGGAAAAAATCTATATGTGTCTCATTTTTCGTTTATAAGACATTTTAAGAAAATGTATTTCCTATTAGTTCTGTATTTTAATTTATTAAAATTACAGACAATTTTACTATTTCTTTTGAATGTGTCTTGATGTTAACAAAGTGTTTATTTTTCTACAATATCATAAATTTTACATATTAATGAACTGCTATTCCTAATATAGGTTCCATACAATTAAAAAAAAAGTGCAAATTTTGTAATAATTTGGATAATAGTTTAGGTAAAGAGTTTAAGATTCGTCGCGAATATCAGATATAAATTATTTATGTGACAATTACAGTTTCATTTCCTCTTCTTCTTTCCTTACTTCAGTACCACTACTTTGTTTTTCATTATTATGTACAATTTTCTATACATCCACATGTTTAGTTTTCACAGCCCTTATTCTATGACTAGAAGATGACTAATATTTTATAAATAGTATAGAAATGTAGGTAACATAATAACATTATAACGTACTGTACGACAGCTGTTGTTTTGTATAAATAATGTAGCAAAGAGATTTCTAAACATTAGACAAGTTAGAAGTTGTAAATTTCATAAAAATCCTTTAAAAATTCTAATTATATTAGATTCGAAATGCATTAGGCCTGCAATTGTTTAAATCGTATTAATTATGATACAAGATTAGAGGTTGTCAGATTAATCTTAATAAGGTTTTTATTTTATTGTATTCCTGCTTTCTTATCCATATTTTTCCCCATTTGTATATTTTACTGGATTGACTAGTTATTAAATGTATTGTTAATTTTATTTTGTTGTATTGTAATAATTACCAAACCTCTGATCTTTTTCAAGGGCATCGTTTATACAATTAATTAGTAAATGTAATGAATCAAGCAACACTTATGTTACATCGGCTACATTTTATAAAAAGTGTATAATGTAGTAGAAAACTGATAAAAAGTACACAAGTAGGCCATGTTACATAGGTGATATCCATATTTCAGTACCATAGCGCAATTATAAAAAATAACTCATTTTTATAATTAAAGTTAATTCTGCATTATGTACATGTGTCACTTTTCAGAAATGCACTCCAATATTGAAATGTACCTAGAGGTAATTGGTTTACAATATTTTAATATATTTGATTCTTTTTATAAATATTTTTTTTATTAATATAACGAACCGTAGGTACATAATATTTTTGTAAACATTGAACTTTTGGCACTTAATATTAGATTGAGTAATGACATAGTATACTTTCATGACAACTGACACATACATACAGCAATTATTGTCAATATTTACTCAAACATTAAACATTTTATAATTGAACGATTTTAATATACAAAACAATTGATGCAGTTCTTAATATTTGACACAATACATTAATTAAAAATTGTACTATACTAGACTCGTTCGGGCGACATCAAACCGAAATAATGCATTGCGTTCTTACAGCTAACTTAAACTATCTACACTTAAACCTTTGGTGAGAGAGGACCGCCATTGTGATACACAAAAGTCATAATGTACTCGACGTTATGTCACAAGCGTCAAATTATAATATGTGGAATAGATTCGACGCGAAGGGAAGGCGAGCACGATAGTGAGCGACTGCATATAGGCGTGAGTTCATATGGCAGCGGAGAGCGGCGTGGGCGCGGCGAACCGAGCGGGCACGGGCAGGCAGGCGAGCCACATGGCGCCGGCGCCGGCGAGGCATCAGCGCGCTCGGTGTGCGGGCGCCGCGGGCGGTCAGGGCGCCGCCGCCGCCAGCGGGGGCCGCGTCGGCGTCGGCACGCGCGGGCACGCCACCACCGACCCGCTGCGGTTGCCTAGGTTGTTGTTGGCGGCTCCACCTGCAATAGTTCCTTATAGTGAGACACAGACCAGAGGGAGACTGTACAAAAGTCGATTGCTTGGGTACCTCTGTCCCATTCGTGTTTCTACCGTGAAGCAGTTGTATTTGCATGGCTGTGTTTCGGTTTGAAGGGTGGGATATGGCGTGAATTTACAGGGTACAGAATAACATCTGAGTCCTCAGGAATGGCAACGCATGGCGGGTATCATGGGCGAAACAGTATGTGTGTGTACTGTTATGTCCATGGTATTGCTCATGTCTATAGGCGATGGTTACCACTTTCCATCAGGTGGACCGTCAGCTTGTTTGCCATTGTAAGTCGTATAAAAAAAATAACAGTCATTACACAATATTACAATAATTATTTACACACTTATTAAAAAAAAAATTTAGTGCAAAAGAAAAAAAACAAAACACCTCAATAGCCAAAATATAATAAAAGATTTATAAGGCGTTTGACATTTTTATGAGACCTTTAATTTATATTAAACAAAATATTATTATATGTATATATATGTATGTTAACATTCCACTTAGGCACGGATGTTTTTCCACGCGTGATAAAAGGAGTAGTTATATTTTTACTCGTTTCTTAGCACTTGTACTTATAAATAATTATAACTTCTATGAGGTCAATTTATAACGACTGTTTTACCTATAAGTGAGCCGAGCATTTTTGTGACGGAGAATTTACGCGTGCGCTGCGGTGTCCGCACTTCTGCGAGGAGGCGATCAACGCAGCGGTAGAGATCGCCAGAGTTGTCAGCCACGCTCGCCTCGCTGAATAAGGCGCCATGCGCTGCGCTTACGGTTTGGCCCTCCTTTGTAGACACCTACGAAAAAAATATGGATATATTGTTAATTGAAACATTTATGCTTAATACAAGTTCTAATTAAAGTAATTATATTTAAATTATTGTGTATTTGTTCTTATCTGTTAACAACTTTATTTTCAAGATTAATTTTAAGAATATTTTGTATGTAAATTTCTTTGAAATCTTTACTTTGCAGATTAGTATTTCGTATTGTTAAAATTGACATAGCAAAGTTACCCCTATTCTCCTCTATTGAAGTTTCAAAATTCAACACGTCCACAAACTGGCAGGCATTCAATGGAAAACAAGAGCCCCAGAGATATGAATGTCTATGTTCGAATGGGTTCCAAGTGACTGTCTATTGTGGGAACTGGAAACTATCTGTTCGTTACCGTATAAATAGCTACATTATAACATTGTTCATACTAGTATTCTACTAACAGTGTCACACAGGCACTATTGTTTTCACAACTAACAGTGTCAGAAGTTTGAGGCCTGAAATCTCTCGTATCATATAACTCAGTTGATATTTACGGACAATGGCAGGCAAATAATGCATATATTTTTTTTACAAAACATACAACGCAAACGTGTTTATAACCAATGCATTATCATAATAGACTCTTTTATTATTAAACCTGGTCTGGCATTTAAAAAGATGATGGACATCTACCATCAGCATTACACTTCAAGTTTCTAAATAATCAAGGTCAATACAAATTGTAAATGTTTAAATATGAGTACTAAGAACTGTTGTATTTAGAGTTTTGCGTTTCAACTGAACGAAATTATCGCTGTCTGAGTGGATTATAATGTAAGTACCTAACTAGTGCAAGTTTTTAAGCAATTAATATTAACTGTAAATTTTCTTTTTAATAATAATATAATTCTTTACTAAGGTTACTAGGACTAGGATCCACTTTTTATATTTTACAAATTATTACAATTATATTATATTTTACAAATTAATTATAGCTGGATTCTTTCGATATGCAACACAACGCAATGGTTCATGTAGAAAGAATGCAGCCTATTTGTTAATATGGCGAGAACGCATCTGGGGCTGGCCCGTACTCTGCAGAGCGGTGACGCAGATCGTTTACGATTATCGATTACGTGTTTGGAAACGCTGTTTTTTGTTAGGTTCTGTCTAGGATTTGAATTTGGAAAAATGTTATTTTATAGTCGAATATTGCCATGTGGTCTCTGCATAGAATGTGTCACCCCATCCTTTTCCGCGGGTATCGTATGGGAAATTAATGTTCGAAGAATGGACAGCAGCGTTCCTCTTAAAACATTACCAAAAGCCTAACTGCAGTTGTCAACTCGATTGTTAAGCGTAGCAACTACTGGCAAAACCGGGGGGGAACTATATTCAGCAGTGGACAGTCAACGGCTAATATGATGATACCACAAATCTCGTGAAATTCTGATCTAAACTTAGAATCGATGGTAACTTTTAAAGTACTTTTAGGTATAAGTTTACTAACAAAATTGAGACAGCTCAGTTGGACAACGCTTGACTGCGATTCCAAGATCGAATCCTGTCTTCGTCGTTTGAATTTTAAAAAGTAATATTTGGATCATTTAAAAATAACCATTACTTGTTTCGTGCTTCGGAGACCACGTAAAGCTGTTTTGGATAAACCACGTCGAACGCTTTTGTGTATAACAAAAGCAGCCTAGAAACTTTTGACACTAGACTTTGGTATTCTTATATGAGTAGTAATAGTTTATTTACTTGTCGTAAGTGATCCAGGTCCGTCTTGTTTCCTAAGAGGGCGAGGGGCATGTTAGCAGGCGTGCTGGCCGGCGTGTGTGCTGGACTACCGTTGGTGGGAGTCCTCTTCAGCGCCTCTAGTACTTGTGTTGCATATTCAAAACTATTGCGGTCTGTTACTGCGTATACTAGCAAGCAAGCATCTGCCCATTGAATCTGTAACAAGATTAGATAAGCGATGTTATTAAACTCATCTTAAATAAAATTTATCAATAATTTACATATTTTGATTACGTTTATTGAATTATAAATATATTTCCTAATTAAAATGTTGAATATTTTAGACATAATTAAAAACCAACCTATAAATGTTTAAATGTTTGGCTTTTTACTTTACATTTCCTGATAATTATATAATGTTTGTTTATTTAAATGTTTAGACTCGGTCAGGTAATTTTTGATAGCTGAATGTTATAACTTGAAAAAAGTAATAATATTTCTCCTAAAAATACTGGACAGGACACTTCGGATAAAAGACTAGACAGTAGAGAAGTATGTGTGTGATTAATTACTGCGTCGGAGCCAACATTCCGTGTTAAAATTAGCTGTACGAACGATTCACTGGCTCACCCACGCGGTGGGACAACTTCTGATTAGCATCAGTCATTGTGAATACGCAATGAAGTAAGATTCGCTAAACCACGACAAACACAACAAACCTTGGAACCGTAATCCCGGACGAGGACAAAAATACTCCAAGAATTTGATGAATGGCCGTTTGAGCACGAAAGTCCCAAGTATTTTTATATTTGTTACTACGCACAGTTTAATTTGAATACGTTATAAATCATGATTATGATGAGTTTATAAAATTGTCAAAATGTGACCAACTCGCAATAACGAAGTTCCGTGGTTATGATTGATCATTTTGTCTTTGTGTTGAAAATAATTTTACCGTTACCACAGCAATTTCAGATTTTATATTGATAAACTCTGTTTAATATAATTAATATGAGTAGAAGTTAAACTCACAACCGATACTAAGTTTTTAAATTTTAATTAAATATGTGGATAAAATGAAATAAAATTAATATCAAGGATACTGATTGATATTGATAAATTAATAATAAAAGGTATTTATAAAAAAAATTACTATTTTAATGAAAAAGTAAAAAAAAAAAACAAAAACACTGTGAAATTGAATATCTTCTCATTTGAACTCAGTTGGTTTCGTATGTGTTATTCAAGGAATAAATAATACATAAACTGTATGAATATTATATTGACGACTGTTAATTTGAAACACGGTTAAGATAAACAGGAAAACTTTGAAATAATGATATCCAAAGTAAAGATACTCATGAAAGTAATTTGTAAGATAAATTTGCCTCTCAGAGGTTGTACAAATATTCTACTTCATTAGTAAATGTGATTGAAATACAGACTTTTACGACAATACTGTATTATGTACTGATTAACATATTTATGTCAAGATTTATAAAATAGTAACAAAACTTCATAATTTTATTATCTTCGATTAAAATTTTATTGTCATTGAAAGCGCTTTCTCCACTTCTGTTGCAATATGTTTTTTTTTTTATTTGAAAATTACGCAGTAAATTCAAGTAGGTTGGTAATAATTCAAAATTATAGTTTTACATTTAACCTACAATAACTAGTCACATTAAATTTCGTGTGTGTCATAAAACAGTGTACGGAAAACAAAGTTAGATTGAAAAGTAAAAACTGTATACTCATTAAGTCTGACATATCTAGGCTTCATAAAAAACAAGGAAAAGTATTGTATTTAATGTTGTTTTGTATATTTTGAACTAACTTAATGTCTGGTGTTACTCGAAAAATATTAGAATAGGCTAGGGTTGAACTCAAACAATATAATAGATTTTATAATATTTTACCCCGGTGTACTTATTGACTGTTAAGGTTGAATGTATGTTATAAATCTATTATATTTTGATCAAGTTCAGATAAAAACATACTAACATATAAGGTCTTATGTACCTATTATACCTACTGTAACAACTAATCTGTACCATGTGGCATGCAAATAAATATAAATACTATATATAAGAAAAATACAATACATAGAATACTATCGACTATTATTATTTTTGTGTATTAATTAAATCAGTAAATATTGGTCATATTATAGTATATTATATTAATAAATATAACAAAATAATCTTTATAATCCCTAGCTGTTACCATCTTATTTAACATTTTTCTTTAAAATATGCGCTATATTTCTTGTAATGTAAATATATGTGGCCAAAAAAAGTTGGCAACCCTAGAAGAAACTGAAATGAGTATAGAGTAATTGAACGTGTTTTAAAGGTTACACCGCAGCGGTGCTACTGTAAACAGAAATGAGTCACAGTGCACGCGCTTGCAGGTCACTGGATCGTCTCGAGCCACATTTTCATCTAATATTATATTTGCAACGATTAACCTATTTGTTCTAACATAAAACGAGTTCAGTCTACGTTTAATAACGTATTTTGTTTGCGGAAGGGCACACCGCGATCGTATATTTGATTTATTGTCTAGGGCGTAAGAGTACGTGAAATTACATGTAACTTTGGCGTTTATTTATTATTTCGAACTCATTCTTAAGTAGATTGAGATCATCTGAGGTTTGTTTGTTGTTATAGGGTTATATAATTTATCCGCTGCAATATTAATAAAATTTAAAGGTTTTGGCTGATTGATGTACTTCGTGTTAAAACTGTGTGAATATGCTTGTTTGCCATTCTAAGACGCATAAAAAAAGAATATGCCACATTTGTTTATTCACACATATTTAAAATTTATAAATACTTAACCACCACAATAGTAGAAATGTTTCAGGTTACGCTCATTTCAAACTTACAATTATTCATTAAACAAAACAAATGATTGTGAATTAATTTAATGAACAAAAACTGGAAAATATGCGAATATATGCTTGTTTTCTAGTGTTGGCTGTAAAGATAAATAAAATGAAATAAATAATTAGTAATATCAACCTTGATGTTACTGTTACATCGCAGACATCCCTAATCCCTTGGTGATTTAATAAACATTATTGTTTAACCAGCAGAGGTCGTCCCATGGGCATTTAAAAGTCGTATATCTACGTAAATATTTGTGAAAATAAGAATTTTTGATTGTGGCAAGGTCTGTTCAGCTACATTAACCTACATTTTATTATATGGCCTAGTATTAATCCCTAATCTTTGAAACTGAGAACGGTCAAAGCGAAGGTTGTAAGTTTACGAGTATATAAAACGTTAGAACAATTTTTTTATGGTCCGCGAGTTACCACAAAATGTGATACGATTACGTATGTATGATAAAGGACTAGAGACTTTATGTAAAGTTTCTATGTATTCTTGCTGCCAAGCAGCTGTGGTGGGTAAGGTAGGTCAGTGAAATGATTGAGAACGGAGGCATCACTGACTGTTGTGCATGATGCTGTAGGTACATTAATGTCTAAAGGCTACTGTGACTATATAAGTGAGTATTTCAAGTTTATGAAATTAGAAGTTTCTTACATTCTACTATATTTGGGTATATATATTATATGATATGATATAATATGATTGATGACAACAAATAATTTATGAATAATTTACCTGTTCAGCTGGAAATTTGTCGGAGTTGGAGCCAGAGACGTCAATTACTTCTAATTCCACCGGTGTTCCATTTATGGGTACCGTTTGTCTATACAAAAGATCTGCAGGAATAAAAAAAATATAAGACATTAAATCTTTTCAATAATAAAAATATTTTTAATAATATGTTAATATAAATGGAATAAATCTAATCAAACAATTTGTTGAAAAAAGGAAAATTTGTGGTTGTAAAACATTTAATAATTTAATTATTTGCTAATAAACTTTTTATGCATTCTGTTTATTACTTAAACAAGGTTTGATGACCTACGCAGCACTTTTGTAAACATGTGATGTTTTCAACAGATTATATGATGAAGATTATAATCCCCTATATTATTAACTATCATGTAATGACAGATTTATAGAAATATTTTTTACGTAAGCTAAACTGACCTGTATTGGAGTGATATTCTCCGATGTATCTCCTAGTTAGGTAACGCACAATCAGCGCTGTAACAAAGAAGACAGATTTATTTTTAAATCTTTATAATAACAACTTTAAAAGCATTATTCATACACTATGAAAGCTCTTTAATAGTAACAAGCATTTTGTATATTCCAGTAAACCCACCAATATCAAGAATGGCAGCTGTCCGCCTCGTAAAAAAGTTTATTATTGTTTTTAATATGCTAAAATTATGCATGTCCTGGAATTTTTAAGTTCGAGAAAATGTCTGTTGATTAGTAGATTCGCATTAAAGAGTACACATGAAACACGTGTAAATAAATAGTTTTGCAATGAGTGTAACTAGTTGTTATAAGTACGTTATTCAATATAAATGTCTATGGTTCTAAGAGTTTTGCTTTTTTAAAACGTTCTTTTTTCAAAGTAAGTATCTATAAGGAGTTTTTCTTTAATGACCAGTATTATTACTGATCAATTCTTCGTCGAGTTTTTTATGATAATACATGCAGCAATAATAGCATATAGACAAATAACATGTTTACTTTACAAATTAAGAACCTATCTATCTAAGAGGAGTTTTCTTTTTAATGACAAATTTTATTACCAGTCACTTTGTCGAGATTTATTTTGTGATAATACACATAGATAGACGTATGACCTGGATAGTGCACTAGTGACCGAGTTAGCTGATTTGTAGTTTGTAGTACAAACTCGTGAACAGATTGATTGATTGATGGGTAATTCAGTATAGTAGATTGGAATGTTAAATAAAATATAGTGTTCAATAAAGATTACGTGATCCATCGGTATGTGGCGGGTGAGTTGCAATTATTTACACAAACCGGCTAGTTTTTAAACTAGAATTGTTATAAAAACTAGGATTAGTGCAAAATACAGACAACTTATGGATCTGGAACTACACATACAACTAGAACATCCAAATTCGGGCTGATTTAGGGTTTCTTCTAAACTCTTCCAATAATAGGTTATTGAACTAGAGTTCTCATTTTATTTAATAAAGTCGTGTGCTGAAAATCTGCTCTGTGATATGTATTCGTTTTTATTTTAACACGATAGCGAATAAAGATGTTTTCAGTGTTTTTGTATCGCTGTGGCAAAAAAGTCATCACTATCTACTATAATCCATTACAACTTGACTATTCTTTTACTTTGACATAACAGTAACACCTTAGATTATAAGTAACAGATACGTAAATAACACAAAGATTTGTTGACTAAAATTGACTACTAATATTATTAATACACCTTTATTAAATCATGTTACGTATACATTATTGGAAATTCAATTAAATTTAAAAATAGCTTTACAATGTTATCGGAAGGTCCTACGGGTTCTATTGATTTCCTCGTTACTAGTTTATTTGGTTTCTCCTGTTTGAATGGCTGACTCACAGCACGTTAATTAAATGTAAAAAAAAATACAAATAGAAATATGAACAAAAATAAAAAATATTTAGAGCAACCTTATTTTTTTTTTTATAAAAAGTAACGCAAGGGAAATAAGATAAAAGTTTTTGGCGGCTTATGAAACCAATTAGATTATGACAGATTCTTGTGAATTTGGGTCGCAAGACGAAATAACCGGAGAGATGAAATTTCGCAAAAACATTATACGAATGGACAATGTTAGACAATGTTTATGTATTAGGTGTATTTTTGTATGTTTTCTTACCGGACTTGCCAACTCTTGAACTGCCGATGACGGCAATGCGCACTCGCGGTAGGCTCGCGCGTTCGTCTCTCATGATTTTGACTGATTGCCTTATTTTCTGAAACAACAAAAGAAAAAACATTAAGTATATATGTATATTTTTCAGACTATGATCAGAAATGGACAGATAACGGCTGATAGATGATAATGATAGTTTTCAATACATTTTATCAAACTAAATTAATGTGTAAATTAAAATGTGAGTATTTATTTAGTAATTACCCACTGTCGTATACTTTAAGATTTTATTGCTAAAACGTAGTAAATAATAGTTTACATCTAAGCGTACTATTATTTGTTATTTTATTATTATTTTTTTATTATATTTTATTAATTTCGCAATGTTGTTGATCACATAAAATTGAAAACTGTGTTTAAAATTTACGTTAGCCATAGAACGGGAAACAAACACGATCAACTGAGGTTTATTTGCGATATCCGCCCACAGTTTTAATGCGTATCTACATTCGTATTTGCTTTACGTATAATACACCGAATTCCACTTTTTTCAATCTTCTAATTTTACTTCCTATTTAACAGGCTTTGCATTAATATTACATCTAAATTATTTTCTGAATCAAATAAATTTGATTACAGCAACAGTTAATGGTTAAATACTTGGCTACTTTTACTAAATTCTTTCATAAGTTCATATTATAAAAGAAATATTTTGATTATTTAGTACACATATAATTATTAGTTGAGAGAGTTCCAAATGGTAAATAACAACGAGATAAAGTCTCGTCCCGTCTCTAGTTGGCGAGCCACAGTTTCATTCATTAGTCGCACTCTGTTATGACGTCCATTGCGAAAATACGTCACATGAATCATTTATGTTATTTGTGGATTAATTTAGTTATAACAATTTCATAATATGCTCGTAGTGATAAAAGATATGATATCTTTGAAGTGATTTATCACCTGAAATATTTCGTAAATTCTAGACTAAATATTTCAAAGTTACTGCCATGCCAAAGAGTATCTGATGTATTATTAGGTTTAGTCGTGATGATGCAGTATGAATGAACCTTTAGCATAATTTTAATAGTGTTTTAATTGTACTTTGATCTGGGTATATAAAACACTATAATCTCCTATGACATAACCACAAATTTTCTATTGACGCAAAAGCGAGGCGTACGGTTCATAACGCAAAATTTTTTGAACTGTTTACGTATTATGTGTCTATTAATATTTTCTTTCAAACTAAAATGTTTATTTCCTTTCGGTAACTTTATATCATGCGACTAAGATTAATATGAATGATAAAGTTCGTAAATAACAAACACGTTGATAGCCCGCCTGAGATATAGTCAACTGATATAAAAACCTGAAGCTTGAAACATAAAATGTGCATATGTGTACGGCCTAGAAATGCTTATTAATTTTATAAATGTGACCGTGAGTTTTACCATTTAGCGCCTTAATCAAACGCTAAGGAATATGGTGTATACGTACTGTAATAGATAGAGAAGGACACAGGCTACTTTTTATCCTGGTCTGTGAACATACTCCAGTCACCTGGACGAAGTGAAGCTAAAACAATTCACATATAAAATTCTCCAGTATAGTATTTATGATACATTTTTATGTAACTTGTTAATCGTTACAAAATAACTATTCACATATTTTCACAAGCATTCCGTTATACTAAATGACTTTAGATGATTGGCACGTAGATAGATCATGTATGTAATGGATTAAACGAGATTAATGTTGGTGATTCGTTTTTGATATATTACAACTAAAATATACAGGCCAAGACGCGGCCGGCCACTAGTCATAAATGAAAACGGTCCAATCTATTTAAATATATGCAAACTAATAATAATATAATGACCATTAATTTCTTCAAGGACAAAAAAAATCCGACTAATTGATGTTCTCTGTATTTAATTTTTATATACATATAAATATTTTACTGCGACATGAGGGTAACGAGGCGAGAGGAATTATATATTTAGAGCAAAATCCTGCGTCAGCGCCTACACTAATGGTTGAATAACCCTGTAAATGAAAAACATTCTCTCGTCAATACGACGTATTCATACCGTAGGTAGGTCCTTGTTGACAACAACGTTATGTCGATGAGATAGTTTGTGGATGTTTGATTTATGTAATTATTACTTTAATTGACCTATTACGACACCGGTATTTGTTGTATTTGTTTGTTGTGATAGTTGTTTAATATATTTAAATAAAATAAAGAAAAAATATTAAGTAGAAAAATCCAAATGTACTTTTCCTTTCTTTGTAGTTTCCTTTTAGTCCATTAAGTATACTATAAAACATCATACTACTTGAAATTGTATCTCATTGATATTTTGGTCAAGGTTTTCTTATCCTGGTCCGTCAAGCCTTAAGCCTTAAGGCCAGGGGAGAGCCATGCACCCTTAATGCGTCTTTTCCTTTACTGCCCTCCGGGATTTTAATTAGAAAGTGTTTTCAAATATAATTAAGATACGTAAATAAATTTATATTATAATTACGCATCTTAATTGTATTATTATATTTATATTATTATGAAGATATTGACTCTGAAATTACATTTTTAACGTCTTTGTAATTTGGAGTTTTGGATATTTTATTATAAATACGTACATTATGCAAGTATAATATGTATTTTTATTGTACTCATACATTATATAAATTTATATAAAATATAATAACGTCAAAATAATGACAGATTACGATGGTCAAGGTTCATACTATTATTTCCGTCTATTTTTTAAGTATAAAGGCAACATTTTTATTATGAAACGAACTTATATTTATCAGACCTTTAATAGATTTTGTTCTCATTTATTTTTGACCTAATCTCCGGACATAATCCGTATTCATATTAGCCTGCCTTCGACGTAAACAACATTGTTTTGTTTATAAATGAAAATGTAAGCATACGTAAATTCATTTGTATTCGACGCCGACGTGTATTGAATGAGGACCGAACCGTTCAATACAATACATGTGGACGGGAAAATTGTTTACAACATAATGAATCGGATGGGTGTATAACAGGTGTCCTAAAACGTAAACAGTCTACGACGCGCAATTTCTATATAGAACTTTCCTTTTGTTACGAATAAAGTTCATAATATTTTGTATTACTGTTTGTATTTATAAATAGAATATTTTATTTTTATCAGAGAGAGAGAGACTCTGTACAAAAGTCGTATGATTGGGTATATTTGCATAGTTATGTGTTTCAGTTAAGCCTTCAACCCATGAGCGTCACAGTGTATTCAGTGTTGCTCATATCTGTGGATGACAGTTATCATCAAGTAGTTTGTCAGCTTGCTGATGGTAAGCGATTAGAATAGTACAGCACGCAGTTCTTGAGCATAAAATACACTGTAGACATTATTCCTTGATTACCGTGCTTTATCATATGAAAATTACAATGAAATATAATTACATATAAGTAAATAGAGGATAACACGTAATGGTGGAGGGATAAGCAGCGGCTTCCTTCTTAAAACATTACCAAAAGTCTAACTGCGGATGCCAATCCATCTATCAAGCGTGGGAATCACTGGCAAAACTCCCCAATAAAGGGAGGCATATGTACAGAAGTGGACATTTAACCGCTGATATGATAATGATGAAATAGAGGAAAATAATATCCGAGAATATTTATTCCCTATAGGAATAAATTTTCTATTAAAAAAATACTATTTAATCTATAGATTGAATAGTATTTTTTTAATAGAAAAAGAAATCTATCTGTCAGTTTCAGAAGGAATATCTTAATAGAATACTGGCAATAGAATACTGAATTAATGTCTCATGTATTTGTCACATAGGATAATTTTATTACATAATCGTTGAGAAGTTGATATTTTTCCTTACAAATTTTATATTATAGGTAGATTTTATTACGAAATGTTTTATTTTTGATTATATATATTATTACATTTAACCGTATTTTTTTATTCCCTATATTAAAAAAATACTATTTAATCTATAGATTGAATAGTATTTTTTTAATAGAAAAAGATAGATTGTCAGTTTCAGAAGGAATATCTTAATAGAATACTGGCAATAGAATACTGAATTAATGTCTCATGTATTTGTTACATAGGATAATTTTATTACATAATCGTTGAGAAGTTGATATTTTTCCTTACAAATTTTATATTATAGGTAGATTTTATTACGCAAATGTTTTATTTTTGGAATTTTTATTTTGATATTATTCGGGAAAAATATAAAAACTTTTAAAATATTTCCACATAAGGAAGCGAAAAAGAACAAGTCCTTGACATTTTATTTTTATAAGGTAATGGATATTATGTCAGATTAATTTTAATAATAAAAAAGTTGTGCATTAAATGTGTTATGTAATTAAAGGTGTCTAAATTATTGATTATTTGCTAAGTAGCGTGATTTTATGAGTGAGGGAGATAGTTAGGTTAATACAAGATAATCATAGACGAAATGTACTAGGATTTTTTTGTAAGTCATGTTGTTTATACGTGCTGAATTCTCTTATCTTTATGTAACGATGTAATACCTTTTAACATTTTATCAGGCGGTCTATATCGATGATATTACTATTAATATCGCTACCATATAATTAATTTTTGTTATATATTTTAGTTAAATAAATCATGGGAATATGAAAGTTTGGATGTATTTATCTATTATGATAAAATGTGTCTACACTTTGTCCACTTGTTGCCATGGCACTGGGAATATTGTATAATTATTTTATAATACAAACATAATAGATAGATGGTGCTTAATAGTGTTAAGAAAAAACATACTCGGAAATCTTATTATATTTTTAAAACATAATTTGGCTAGCCGCAATCAATGGCTTTGTACTCGTGATTTGGAACAAAAGTATCTTAATATGGCTCATGTGCTCATCAATTTTCGTCCCAATTAATTTAACATTTATGCATGTTTTTTTTTAATGGGTGATAATATAATGGTAACCTCGCCTGCGCTATCGGTATACGTTGGCGGGGCACCAGTGAGGGATGACAGGTGAGGATGAAAAGGCAGGTCAGTTAGCCCATCGTGATGAATTCCACTAGAATTAATCACGACGGT